AAAAACTCCTGTATATCCTGGCTTCTCCCTTACCTCTTTGGAGCAGTCCCTTAGAACTATCTGAGAGGCTGCCTCCCAGGCTTGAAGTCCTCAGGATGTCGGCTGATTGAAACATAATTCTCAACGTTTAGGTTGTGTGTTTTTCTTCAGTGGACACATCTGAGTTGGGCTGAAACCGATGGCAGGACTAAGGCATGTGCATGTGGTAAGGGAGTAGGGGGGCTTCCTGGCAGACTCCATGGCTTGAGTAAAGTCTTGGAGGGAAAACACCGAGTGAGAGAGAGCAGCTACTCACTTAGTTTGACTGACCTGGTGAGTGAAGGGAAATAATTGGAAAGGTGAGGTTGGGCCATACCATGGGAGCCTGGCCAGAGACAGGAGAGATGGAGGCCAGAAGTCTGAGTAGGCCAAGGAGTTGGATTTGATGCTTAAAGGACTTTGATCCAGAGTGACACTGCACACCAAACCAACGAAGGGGAAGTATGACGGATCATCCCAAGCCAGTCACCTCCAAGGAAGAGTGGCCCATTAGCGTTGTCTTTGTCCACAAAAGGAAACACACATCTTAACAAATGTATTAAGTGGAGAGGAAATGTGCTAAAGTGGGAAAACCACAAGTGTTGGTGTGAAAGCGTTCCAAGTTCAAATCCGCATTCCCCCTCTGACCTTAAGTTATTTCTCGTCTCTGAATCATGGTTTCCTTATCTGTAACACATGCACTTGTTATGCTTGGAGGTTCTGAGTAGGTAGCAACATGTACCTGGAACACGGTAGGAGTTCACCAGACACGAATTACCAAGAGAGTTATTATTTTACTTGCTACTTATTCCCCTCTATCTTCCAGAGTTTCTTATTTTATTGTAATAGGTGAAGATGCTATCAGTAAATAGAAAACTTCCTTTCAAAATATTTATTTTTTTCTCTGTATAGAAAAGTTAAATATTTTAAAATAAAGAACAGCATACCCATCTGAACTGAAAAAAAACCAGGAAGAACCGAGAAGCCAATATTTGGAATTCTGTGGCCAAATATTTGTTTTAAATTGGTTCCCTCAAAACCAAAGAAAACTAGGTTCCTTCCTAACTTAAAAATCATTGGATTAGAATGGATATCCTAGGAAGAGCTTGAGTGTCTCCGGGTAATTATTAAGTGAAAGCAGACATTTCTACTTATTTATCTATGGCCTGACCAAATGATGTGAAAGTTACAGCTCAGCTAATGAACCAGGGAGTCTCGTGGATGCTCTGGGCTTGATGGAATAACAGCTCATGTGGCCTATATAAGCCAGAGGCAAGGGGAGACTTGAGCAATAATAGGAGAGATTATCCCTTGTAAAGATTCATCCTAGATGATTCTTCTGGTTTCTGTTTTTCCCCCTAGAATTCCGTCTCAGTGTAAAATGGGCCACAAAGACTGACGATAAATTTGTTCTCAGAGAATAGCACCTCGAGGAAGAGAGACCCAAAGTGCCCTGCATGGTCTGAAATAAACACTGTTGCTGAAATTGTTTACAGACAGTGCTAACCATTTGGGCATTTTTCTTTCAAAAATGAATTATCATCCAGTAGCTACCTTCACTCATATCCTTTCTCTTCGACTTCATTCCTGTCCCCATTGTGGAGATTCTGAAATAAATTTGCAGCTCAAGAAAAACCACCCTTCCCCTTGTCTCTCCCCAGCAGGTCTGCCGTTGGCGCGCAAGCTTCCTCCTGTGCACAGCACAACGTGGGCTGTGCCTTAGGTTCATTCTCACACTTTGTATTCGGGGTCAGCAGACTTGGTAAGTGCACAGCTGTGACACAGTAGGACTCCTACAGACTTTAAACGCACGGACATGATGTTATCAGTCCCAGAAGGCTAGCCTTTGAGTGATCTTCTTGGGTAACATTTTTGGCAGTGCTTCTTCCTTGGTCTTTAATAATGTTCTGAGTCTGTGTTTGTGAGACTCTCAAATTTATTTCCAATTAGATAAAGGTGACCTTCCCCTTCTCCAAGCGGAATGTCCCATGAGACCCGAGAATCCTGTGGAGGCCCAACACAGCTGTCCTTAGTTAACCGCTAGAGCACCTTCAGTCTGAAAATAGCTGACACAAAAATAAGACTGCGACACGAAGGGAGAACAGAATGGTCAGGCACACCGCACCACAGTTTTTATCAAATTATTTGGGTTAGGATTTGAAAACCTGGTTAGCGCTGGAGCATTGAGAGACACTGAATTTGAAGTTAGATGGAGAAACTGAGAGGAGCTTAATCACAGAGCCTAGAATTAGGAATAGTCGTATTCAGGATGGAAACTTCTTGGGCTCAACGTCTGGGAACACTGAGGTCAGGCTGCTTTACAACGTCGTTCTTATTTTTCTGGGTGGCCTCCACGTTAGGAGAACAGCCTGTCACGTGGGTAAGGCTGATTTCAAGACCATTGGCCTGCTTCCCATCTATTCTCCAAGAATTAATCCCCTAGGACTCACGACCGTCAGTCATGCTTTGGGAGTGAGATAGCAGAGCGATCCCTTCCTTTCTACTTGACCTTCTGCCTCTCTAGAAGAGGGCCGATTTTACAGCTTACCTTGGGAAACATGAAAGTCAAACATGATAACTAGAAATGGTGGATGAAACCGGCATTGGATGCTATAAAATTGAACGTGGGACTTGATATTCTGGAGTAACATGTACTCTTTTAAAAGTAAACACGTATGGGTCATTTTAGAAAGGTTAATTTCTGCCACCTCTCCAAAATACAGGTGTAATTTCAAGATTTTGCAGGTTCAGCTCCAGACCACTGCAATAAAGTAAGTGTCACAGTTTTTTTTTTTTGTAGTTTCCCAGTGCATACAAAAGTTATGTTTGCAGTATACAGTAGTCTATTAAGGGTGCAATAGCATTCTATCTAAAAAAATACATACCTTTATAAAAAATACTTTATTGCTGAAAAATGCTAACCATCATTTGACAATGCAGGGTTGCCACAAACCTTCAATTTATTAAAAACACAGTATCTGAAGTGCCAGGAAATGAAACTCATTAAAATGAGATAAGCCTATATTCCCAAAACAATGACAGAGTAAAACTGTCATTTACAACACTGGAAACACCATTGGTGGAAGAAGATGTTCTTCCCACTCTTTCAGTTAGGAAAGAATGATACTTATTAGATCAAAATCAGAGAGCAATGATGTTTACTCAGAAGCCGTAACACTGGACTCTGGGAAACAGAGTCCAGATCATCATTTTTCAGAATTTCTCTTCTCAGTGACCTGTAGAGGGCTTCCCTCCACGAGGAAACACCCCAGTGTTGATGTTAGATTCCTCATCAGCAAAGAATTGTACCTTCTACCTTGTACCTACCATGTGCTTCTAGCTCCTCAAGGCATTTTCACATGTGCTCCTTCTTTGTTAATTACAGTAATAACCCTGTGATGGCATTACTATTTCAGAAGACCTCCAAATTTGGGAAAGACACGCAAAAAGAAAAAAAAGGGAGAAACATTGGTTGCTATTCTCCAACTGGCTTCTCTTCAGCCTTTTCTTCCCAATATTTAAGAGCTATAAGGAAGGAAGACTGGCATTTTAAACACTGGGGTTTGCTCAAGAAGAATTCACTCCTCTGCTAGAAGAGGGTGACTTATTTCTCCAAGGCTGATGTGTGTACTGTCCACCTAGGTTGTATGGTGTGAAGACTTTATACCATCCAGCTCCTTTTTGCCTCCTTCCAGTGCCTACCCCGAGAAAACAGAGAATATACTATTGACTTAATAATTCTTACAAACACAGTGTTTGAATTTCAGAGTAGGGGCAAGGGAAACACACAACGGGCCGTCTCTCAATTCTGTGCTTCTATCACAGAAATCTGAGTGTTCTTTTAAAGGGCACTGTGGATTTTTTTTTTCCTGCCAGCAGCCACAAGGTGGGTAATGATCTACCTAACCTGCATAATAGCAGGCAGTAGAGTAATTTGGAATTTAACTAACTGTTACATACGTAGATGTATGTACACGCCCTGCTACTCCGCATGTAATATATATTGCATATGTCTATGGCCTGTATCCCCTTCGTTCCTTGCACTGGGCCTTGTATATTTTTAGTGCTCAATAAATATTTGTCAAAATCAATCAGAAATGAAATGAAAGAAATAAAAACTTCTATCTATATGCCTATCCATAGTAAACAGTAGTAGCAGTATTTTTCTTTCAAAAAAAAAAAACCAGAGCAACAGTTTCCAAGAAAAACCACTGTTCCTTGATGGCTTGGCAATCAACAACTCCCAGCTCAAAAAATAAAATGAGATAAAGCACAACATTAGCTCTGTTGTTAAAATGTCTTCAGAATAATTTGTTCATCATGAAGTCAGTTATGATTGAATTGTGTTTTTATGAAACTCTTGGGAATATATTTCGTTTTGCTTCTTGTTCAGATTTCACTTGTAATAGGATGGAATTCTCTTTCTCCCTTATTCTTTTGTCTCTGTGCTGCCCATTTCTGTGAAAAGGAAGATGGGATTAAAAATTTAAAAAGGTTGAGACTTGGCTAGTATAACAAGTGAGAGTCAGTATATCAAGAGAAAGCTTTCTTTTTTTCTTTTTTTTTTTTGTCTTCTAAATACTATGCTCTGAAGAATTTAAGGGTCGAAATGCCTCCCCTGAAGATTCACAGTGTCAATCTGATGTCATCCATCAAGGATGGAGCCAGGATATTTGCTTAAAGCCCTGATCCTTGATGCATTGATGGTGCACCTCCAAAGTGGATTCCAGTACCTGGGACTAGAGCGGGGATGGGCAGAAAAGGAAGAGAAAAAAAAATGGGAGGAAGACTGGAGGGACAGAGCAACTTGCATGTCCTGATCTGGCAGTATGGTATGGTGGTTATTGTCAGATTCTCTGGAATCTGATGCCTAATTTTGAATCTGTCACCCTGTTAAATGAGGGAGTTAATAGACCTGAATTCAAAGAGTTATTTAAAGAGGTAAATGAATTATTCATGTAAATTCCTTAGAATAGTAGGTGACAAGTAATCATTTTATAAATGTTAGCCATTATTATATGAGTCAGTCTGTATTGAATTAGAAGGTGTTTTGATGGGGAAAGAATGCAAGTATTTTGACCCCTCTTCTGGACCACATATGTGTGTTGGATCAGCTAACAAAAATTTCGGTTTGTCACTATGTGACAATCCCCATTTTGCTTGGTTTCCAAATTCCCTACATAGCACAGTGATGACTTTAGTTTTCCCATTAACAGGAGACTATCACCTTTTTTTGCTGATTCTATCAATCTTTTTGAAGAACTAGTTCAAGCTCCCCCCATTTTTCAAAACTACATTATTTATTTCTTGAACTAAGTTCACTAATGGAACAAGTTTTCTATTTTTAGTTTTCAGACATATTTTTTACATAAAATCTTGTGCTTTCTTTTTTACTCAAAGTGCCGGTAAAGCAAATGCTTACAATATACTATCAAATTTTTAAAACACAGGACATAATACCATATGTACAGGTTAACTCTGACTGTTTATTATAGTTGCCTCCAGAGTAAGATTATGGACAACTTTTGACTGCCTTTTTATACTCTTGAATATTTTCTAAATTACCGTAATATCCTTGAATTACTTTGACAAGCAATTAAAGCATTGTTTAAATGTTTGTGTTCCCTCCAAAATGAAAGTTATCCAGACTAAATTATAAACGGAGAAGTAAAACTAAAAAGAAGGGCCTGGTTTCCCTTGGAGCATATCCCTCAGATTAATACTGCCAGTGATTTTACTGCCAGTCTAGGATTAAATGGTAAAAATAGATGATACCAATATATTTCAAATGTTGTTCTGTCAGAGTAACCTGGCCGACAGGACCTGAACACATGGTATTTTCTCTTTCCTTAATACCATTTAGTCCACATCACAAAGACTCCGTTTATCAGTTCTACAAATAAGATGGTTATTCTGCATTGGGCCTATAGACAATCCCAGATTTTTTCAGAATAATGAGAAAGGAGGAGATGGAAATGTGTCCAATCCTAAATGTTGTATAACATCAAAACCATTTCCATTTGGGATTGGAAAGTACGTGATACAACATGGATTAACCTTAAAAATATGACATGTGAAAGGAGCCATGTACAAAGACCATATATTCTATGGTCCCATTTATATAAAATGATCAGAAAAGAAAACAAAAAGACAGAAAGCAGTGGTGGTCTGGGGCTAGTGAGAATGGTAATGAGAGAACAGACTGCAAATGAGCTTACAGGAAAATATGGGGATGATTTAAAAGAAGTTTTAATACTGGTGAGTGGTGATGGTTGAAAATCTCTATAAATTTACTAGAAATCATTGAATTGTATACCTAAGTCAGCGAGTTTCATAGCATTTAAATTATACCTCAGTAGAGCTATTTCAAAAAAGTTAAAAAAAAAACAATGAGGAATGGTGAAGACCAAAGTCTCTGATCAAGTCTGCCTTTGTGTATTTAGCAAAAGACTGAATTGCACAATGATTATTTTTCCTTCTTGTCTGACTTGATTAACTCTGCTTTCAATAGTAGAAAGTTTATGGGAAATTTAAATGCTTAGTTCCCTAGAGGAATTTTGACTTTCCTGTCATCCTCAAAGAAGAAACATCCAAATAACAGATGCAAAAAATTCATTAATGATGAAAACTGTAGAATTAAAAAAAAATTTAAGACAGGTTGCCAGTAATTCTGTTTATCTCTCTTTTCAACAGATCTTTTCACTTTCTGAAGCCCCTACAGACTAAGTCAACCATAGCGGCATGTCTTAGCCAGTCAGGATG